GAATTCTGAGATTAACCTCAGAATCCTGAGGAAAAAAGTCAGAATATTCTGACTTTTTTCTCAGAATTCTGAGATTAATGTCATAATTTGAGAAAAGTCAGAATTCTGAGGTTAATGTCAGACTTCTGAGATTAAAGTTAGAATTTGAGATTAAAGTCGAATCCTGAGAAAACAGTCAGAATATTCTCTTTTTCTCTCAGAATTCTGATGTTTTTCTCAAAAGTCTTTTATCTCAGAATTCTAACTTTGTTTTTCTCAGACTAAAGGGGAAAAAACTGCACTGTGGCCCTAATCCTCTTCCGTAAAGATGACGTGTAATCAAGTTTGAATGTACCAAATTATTATTATTTTTTAATAAAATTTGCTTCACTTAAATCAAACACAGGAAAAGCTTTCTAGAAGGATCGGTTGACAAGTAGATCTAAACCAACAAGAGTCACACAAAGTGGGAGGACTCACATCAGGTGGGATTCGTGCTCCGTCTTTCACGGTGTTGCCCTCTACGGTGATGTGATAGACCTGCCCGTCTGTGTCGGTGAATATGAAGTGCTCCCTGGCTGAGATCGCCTGGCTGGTCTCGGATTTGCTCTCAGCATCTTGAAGAAGACTGCGAGGAGAATGACGAGGTAGAACATTAAACATACGATTCATTCATACGTGAATATTTTTTCATTCAACCTTTATTTAGACAGGTTAATCCCACTGAGCCTCGAGGACTCATTTACAAGACAGACCTGATTTCAACAAAGAATGATGACAACAATGGACAACAATAGACAGTTATAAAAAGGCATTCAGATTTTTATTTTTGTATTTTTATACAAGATGGCAAAAAAAGTTTAAAAACCCCAGCTACATTATAAGGCAAATGTAGAAAACTAAAAACAGGAACATGTCTGCATATAATATACAGTAGGTTTTTTTTAATGTTTAATGTTTTTAAATGGGAGTGTGTGTGTGTGTGTGTGTGTGTGGGGGGGGGGGGGATCTAAAATCTACCCTATAGGCGTACCGATACTTAGCCCCCCAGAGCAGACAATTATGGAACACAAAAATGCTCAAAATTAAATCAATAAAGCTTTATGAAATAAAAAAGATGTTCATTTTTATTCTTTTATTTCATAATTGCGTGTTTCATAACGGCTTATTTATTTCATAATGACTCTTTTCAGCAGAATGACTTCAGCTGTCAATCAACGTCAGTGGGTTGGACCTTCACGCCCACTGGCTGATCCTTCACATAAACAGTTATTTTCCTTAAAAGACATCAAAGTTACTAAAATCACAAAGAAATTAAATTTGTCACAAGTGGACTCACGCTATTAACGATTTATATTAATATATGACAATAATATATGAAACATTTTTTACCAATAAAGTGCATTTATTAAGGTAAAAATAAACAGAGACACACCTTTGCTATAATTTGGAGCCAACAAATAATCGTTTTTATGAGTTTATCTTGTTAAATTCAAAGAACGAAAACGGAGAGTCCTCCCGTGCGCACTCCCACAGCGCCGATCGATTTTTGGCAGCCCATCACTTTCTGTCACGACACCTGCATCTTCTGAGAACGTAATCCTCTCAGTTTGATCTGAGAAAGTTACCTGAGCAGAAGGAAGTTCATGCAACTCTGCATCCTTCATGACTGTTGACCGAGCAAGCCGCTGCTAGCTGCTATGCTAGCTGCTATGCTAGCTGTACAGTGAGCAGGAAAACTAATGGATGTGAAGCATCAACCAGTGGGCGTGAAGGTCCAACCCACTGACGTTGATTGACAGCTGAAGTTGTTCTGCTGAAAAGAGTCATTATGAAATAAATAAGCCGTAATGAAAAACACAATTATGAAATAAAATAATAAAAATGAAAAATGTTCTTATTTCATAATGTTTTATTTATTTAATTATTAAATTTTGAGCATTTTGGTGTTCCATAGACAATGGCTCTTGACTTGAACAACGTGGCAGCCATTGGACAAAGTGGTGGGTCTGGGGGTCCTCACCCAGAGAAATTTGAATAAAGTAGATGCCATTTCCTGCATTCTGGTGCATTTTAACAGGTTGTTTGTTATACATCTACATTACCTACATAAGTAAACACTTGATTCAATAACTATTTTAGAGTTAATGGCACAACAAGAAGTAGCCTGACCAACAGCTCTCCTTGTGTGAATAGAGCACGCTCCAGTTCTCTCCAGCATCCCTCTAAATGCTCATTTTACCTGTATAAATAAAGGTTGAATGAATTTGATTGATTTGAAATAGCTGAAAGATGCTGACGTCCAAACAAACATGGAATAAACAGGAGAACCACAGTGAGCGCTGGCTCAGCGTCCACACTGTTAAAACGAGGCGAAGCTTAAATGGAAAGATGAATATCCGCTTTTTTTATTGCAAACCTGATGACCGAGGATTCAATGTTACTCTGCTCAGCGTCCGACACCGTCTGCCGAGCCATGGCCTCCCTGGCTGCCATCTGCTTCTTCTTTAAACTCTTCAGATTATGGGATGGAGACCATTCCTGTGGAAACACGCAGGGCAACCATTAAAACGATGGAAACAAACAGCTCCTGCTGACATCACAGTAAAGAATTAAAGTGTAAAAAGCAGCTTAGGACGGACAGAAAGGAAGGGCCAACAGATGTTTGTATAAACGACACACGGGCGCACAGTGGAGTTGTGTCGCTTTTTGTCAAAGAGCTGCGGCGTTGTGGCTAAAGTCTGGATGACCCAAGGCTATCATCAATATGGAAATGAGACAGCAGTATGAGGCTAGGGGAGGCAGGCATGGATTATTAAGTTTATTGCTCTTTTTATTTGCACTAGGGAAGACTTTATGACCCTCTTGCAAAGTTTGTCCAGTATAACTCTTCTTTTATGAGAATTTCTCTGTCCTAATGAAGGCACTGTGCAATCTTTGCTGAGCCTGGTGAAATTTTCAGGACTAATCTTTAAAATGTTCCACACAAATAAGTGCTGCATGGGAGGCCATCGCCAGAAGAAAGAGCCCACAATAGATTCTTCTACAGTTCTAAAAACGTGCTGGATTTCTTGCCACCAGATCTGAGAAGTGAAGCCAACAGAAATGTAATCATCACTGGGCCTGTTAGAGCCGCAATCTGAGCCCCAGCTTTCCGAAAATCTGTTTTTATTACATGTCATTATGATGCGATTACAGCTAAGAGTTGATCATAAACTAAGTAGAGCATCAATCCCAAAGACATTTTATGTGCTGAAGTTTCACCGGTTTGCAGGCGAAGACCAATGAGTGTGTTTTTATAGAACTTAGTCTCTGTTAAAAAGTTATAATTAAGTACAGACTTATGACAATTAATGTTTCAGTAGCTAAACATAGTCATCCAAAAGCTGGTCATTTTGAATCCTGTGAATGGTCTAATGACCAAATATGGTCATTTCCTGCCCAGAAAACACCATGAAGGTGATGTTTGCGTGCAGATCTTCAGGATTTCATGAAGCAGTTTATAGATAAATGTGCTGCATATTACCAGCACAGTAATGTTGCTCAGAGTTTATATAGTTTAATATTTTACTAATGTTAATTTGCCATAGTAGTGAAAATAACTCAATTTATCCTATTATTGTGTAAACGCTGTCAGCATTTAGTTCATTATTTTACTGTTTACAGTTTCTCTTGTAAAATTTAATCAGTCGTCTATCAGAACATTCAGCTGATATTGGAAATAACGTTTGGATTTTGTAACTTTAATACCTTTTAATCATAAATAACTTAAATGACTTTTTTATTTAAGTGAACAGAGATCTTCAAATCCTTAAAAGACTTTGTGCCCTTTAAATACTAGTACTTGTTTTATATTTTAGCTTTTCAATACCGATTTGCTCATTTTATCTTTAAGCCACAGTATTGTGAATTTTAGCTTTTAGCTACTGTTTTGCTGGTTTTAGCGTTTAGTTATCATTTTTCTAACTGTAGATTTTATTCTAACTGTATTCTAATAACTTCAAAATTTGATTTCAGGTTCATCAAAAAATGTCAGCAAAATGATAAAAGCACTGAGCATTTGCATCGCAATGTTGCAGAAAATGCAATCTCACAAGGTAAAAGCTAAAAAGGCAAAGACTAGCTAAAAAGAAAACTTTAAAGTCTAAAAAACGGCTAAAACAGAAAAGTGCCGAAAGTTAAGATATAAATAGCAAAAGGCTATCCAACATCTAAAAGCAACACAAACTAAAATTTCTTCTTTTAGCTGTTCCCTCCAGGGGTTGCCACAGCAACTCAAGCAGAAGCAAAATGCTAGTTAAATGCTAAATTTATCAAAATGTTAGCTAAAGGCTAAAAATATTCACAGACTAGCTCAAGGTATAAAAAAGCTAATTGAAAATATCAAAAGTTTAAAGTATCCAAGGATTTACTAAAGGTATGAAAAAGCTAGAAGCTAAAAATTATCAAAAGGATAGCCGAAAGCTAAAAATAGCAGAATGGTAGCTAAGAGCTAAAAGCAACACAAGAAGATAATAGATCATGTTTGCTGAAAATTATTTTAAAAAGAATGCTTTTAAAGCAATTGCATCCTTTAAGTAAATATTTTGGAAAAAGAAATAGTGTGTGTGTATATATATATATATATATATATATATATATATATATATACACACATATAAAATATAAAAGGTGCAAAAAAATTTTACGGTTTCTCTTCTGAGTGAGCTGAACAGTTTGACATGACTGAGACTTAGTTTGCATCTGAACTCAAATGGAGAAATGCTGACCTCAAGTCGTTACGCTGAAACACAGAATGGCTACTCTGTCAAAAGTGAAGAGTGGAGCTGAGGAAACTCTCAGGCGTGTAGGAAGATCCTGAAACAGCCTTCATGACACCAGATTTAATCGAGGGGGGGTGTCACTGAACCTTGTCAGTAAAAAACCAACGTGACAGGCTGCAGAACTGCCCTGAAGGTGCACCTTCACTTGAAGCAAAGGTGTTGAAGGAGTCGCCATGCCTCTGTGTGTCCACAGTTATAAGAATATTGAGATTTTCCTGGTGCCGTGTGAGCTCATCGGTGTGACTTGCTACCTTCTGTAGGGGGGTGGGTGGGGGCAGCTGCAGCAAAATGTTAATGTATACGGCTCATCAAACACCAATATTCCTGAGCAGGACTACAGCTGCAGAGATGCGTTTTAAAAACACTTGTGTGCTCGGTAACAGGCTCGGCTCGTGTCACGCAGGCGTTCTCATTGACAGAAAGATGTGCTGCTGAACTCCTAAAGTATCTTAAATAAACGCGTTTTCTGCTCAGCCGTTACTGAACTAGAGGTATTTTATCAGTGTGCACAGTTGTTGGTACCAGTGCGGTAACAGTAGGAAAGCTTTTGGCCATCTCTCGGAGAAGTGTCCCCGTCCGGATGTCCCACAGCTCCAAGGGTTTGTCTCTGAACACCACCACCAGGTACTGTCTGAGGAACAAAACAAAACACAGACACATGGCAAGTTTTACAAAACAGACTCAGTGTTTCCTCTAGGTGACACGCACGCCTTGGCAGTGTGCTCATCTTTTTTGTCGACCGGGGGATGGAGATGGAGACACATTTGTGTTGTGCACTGTTTGTGACAACAGTTGTCGACCGGGTGATATTGGGGGAGGGGTGATGAAGGAAATGGTTCAGTGCGAGGGAAACAATGTGCTACCTCTGTAGCTTTTTAGCTAGCAACTGTATTGCGTGCCTCTAGCTTAGCGCTACATCAGTGCTGACAGCTGTCGACGAAGGCAGGGCGCTCGGTTCTGTTGACAGGGCGGTGCACCCTCCTTGTATAATGGTAGGGGAAACACTGAAACTATATATTACACCAGTAGAAGGTCTCATGCTGAAAAATACATAAACTCTTATATACAAATATTTAATGTACTGTGACAGAACTGATGTAATTTTTATCAAGTCATGATGGCGTAAAAGAGTGTATGTCACCTGATATACATCAGGTGCTTACAGGCAAGTATCAGATACATGCCCTGGCAAGTACCCGTTAGAGAATTTTTGGTGTAAATGTTTTTATTGTGATAGCTGGTACATAACGGACTGTGTTATGTACTGTTACCAACAGTTGCAATGATAAGGGAGTAAATACTGCCAAGAGTTTGACAAATCATTGTACCCACTTTAGATTGATCTCTAAAGATAATGACTAAGAAAACACAAGTAAGGAAAAACAAAAACTGTGAAACACTCTTATAAAAAAAGACAACTATAGAAATTATTAGATTTTCTTTCAGGTGACCTTACGCACACCTGGCTCTTTCTAACGAACCTATAATCACACCTGATTTAGAAAGTTTGTGAAAGATAGTCATTTTGTTTCAAGTTTACGTTGGAGGAAAGATCTAAAGTTGCTGCACATTTGACAAACATGGACATTTTAGGCTCAACATGCTCCCACTGTGTAACGAAGCTAAATTTGCAATGGTCAAAGCCGAAGTTGGTTGATTTTTGACCTCAACAGGTACAGAATGTAATCATTTTTGCACAGAGTGGTTTGAAATAGGTTTTTAATTTTGGCCCCTTTTGTAACCAAGTTTGACACCCCTGCGAACTGTTAGAGGAAAACACTCTTCCTCCTCCTGATCTTTCAAGAAAGATGAAGAGTGTTTTCCTCCAACAATTTGGTCCTTTGAGCCAGATACAAACCAGCAACCTAAGGATCACAGGCCCACCTTCTCTAACCTCTGCGCTACCAATCTCCACGCCATTGAAATGACTAAGAGTCTAAATGCGGCAATATTAGTTTTAGGTAATATCATCAATGCCTTTGCATAATGATAAACATCCTTGTTAACCAAAGAAATGCATCCACATGGTGAGATGTATTTTATGGGTCGGAGCACATGTTGCCATTGACAACAAAATAGAAAGTTTCACAACTCATAGAAGCAAAATCCCTCAAGATGTCAGAGCATCATTCACATCTCACTCCTAATGAATGCACAAGGCTCGATAGAAGATGGAGTCCTTGAAAGAAAGTTGTTTTTTTTATCGTCAAACAAAGAAAACTGTAAACACAAAACAGCTGCTTCTGATAGGTTGGATCATGAGACAAGGAAGGAAGGAAAACAGGAAGGAAGGAAGGGAGGAAGACAGAAAGGAAGGGAGGAAGACAGAAAGGAAGGGAGGAAGACAGAAAGGAAGGAAGGAAGACAGGAAGGAAGGGAGGAAGGAAGACAGGAAGGAAGGAAGGAAGGGAGGAAGGGAGGAAATAAGAAAGGAAGGAAGGAAGGGAGGAAGGAAGAAAGGAAGGAAGAAGTAAGAAAGGAAGACAGGAAAAAAGAAAGAAAGAAAGAAAGGAAGGAAGGAAGGCAGGAAGACAGGAAGGAAGGAAGAAAGAAAGAAAGGAAGAAAGAAAGAAAGGATGCAAGGAAGGAAGACAGGAAGGAAGGATGGATGGAAGAAAAGACGGATGGGTGGACAGACAGATGTATAGATATTTTATTAATCCCAGCAGGGGAATTCAAGAAAAAAGTGTAAAAAGTGTAAAGTGCGGTGTGTGAGTAAGACGAGTGTGTTGAAAGTAATCGTAACAAAGGAGTTTGTATTTCTCGGTGTCGGGCTTTGCCACAGGCAGGAAGAAAGAGCAACTTACTTGAGATGAGATACTTTAATCATATCAATGGGCGGCTCGTCATTTCCTCGCTCACCTCTGAATGCAAAGCATCTGCCTAAAAACACAGAGACGGAGAGGGAATAAGAAGTGCTGCTGACAGAAGACAGGAAGCAGTGTGACCTCTCCTCCCTATGAAACAGATTCATCTCATTTTCCTGCAGAAAACGAGCTTGTCCTGACTCGTCTTTTACTGGAGCTGGGAGGAGAAAAAGCAACTTATTCCTACCACCTGCTGCAATCCCTCGTTCCCACAGGCCACTCTCTACTCAGGAGAGTCAAAATTATGCAAAGTATCAAGATGGCCCTTCCACGGCAACAAGAATGTCCTTCAGGTGTGGACGATCACACTTCTCTGGGGAAACGTTCATCTGTTTTTGTGAAGGACATTAGAGGAAATAGCCTGTTAAAAACGGACAAGCCATTTGTCTCCGTGTGGCGGTTAAGAACGGGGGTAGACCCACACTCTTGTGCTGATGGCAGCAGTTGGAGCACACAGAAGGAGAACAGCACAGCTAAGCATATGGTGTAAGGACAATTGTGTAGACCCGCGGTGCACTCGAGACTAATGAAGAGCCGTTAATAAGTTTCTCTCTCGTTTCCTCGCGCGATCGCACAGTAGGAGTGGTCACGTGTTCTGATTACAGAACATCAATTAAATCATCTCACTCTTCTGAGCAACACCCTCCGGGCTGCAATCACACAATTCAATTTAAAAAAAAAAACTCCATGGAGCATTGTACAAAAGAAGAAGCTCAATTTCTTTTCATTAATACGAAAACGTCTGCCATAAAGAAAGAAGAAAAACATCTGGATGAGCTGAGAGCAGTTGTTACTGTACGCTGTTTCTACTTTTATCCAAAGGACTTCTTCAGTTTGAGGAGCTGCAACAAACTCAGTCTTATAAATAGCACCTTCTCATAGTGGATCAACCAGGAGGGCTCCGTGTCCAACTGTCCCCCTCCTACAATGCTGTTATTGCTAGTATCACTCAGCCCTCTGTGAATAGCAAGGGGCCATCAGGGCTCTAACGATCAGTCGCTAGGCTTGTGGTCCTCCTTGATCATGTGAACAGCTAGTTCTGGATGTCAACAACAAACTGGTTGATCCACTATGAGAAGGTGCAGTTTATAAGACTGAGTTTGTTGCAGCGCCTCAGACTGAAGAAGTCCTTTGGATTAAAGATGAAACGTTTCAACAAAGAAGAATCCATCCAGACGACGTATCTTCCATGATTTTTATTGGGTGGGGGGGGGGGGTGAGAGACACATGTCTGCATTGCGCTCCGTTTGTGCCGACAGCTTTCGGGCTCGTGGGTGGGGTAGATGGCTCGGCATGAAACCTCCATGGACATAGCTTTTTAGCTAGCGCGTCTGTATTGCGCGCCAGTAGCTTAGCACTATGTCAGTCCCGGCAGTTATCACAGGGGTGGGGGAAGAGTTCGGTTGGCAGGGCGCTCGGTTCTGTTGACAGGGCGGGGCGCCCTGCTTGGATAATGGTAGGGGAGACACTGATGTTATCTACAGTAGTCCCTCGTTACTTCGCAGTTCGACTTTCGCGGACTCGCTCTTTCATGGATTTTCAAAGTAAGGACATGACGCACAACTGTCTGATTGATGGGTGAACCACACAAGTGGCATGGATTATTATTTTTTTTTTTTTATGATTTAGTGTCTGCTGCACCTGTGTGCAGCCCACAGGTGCAGGGAGAAGCTCCTCCTGCAGCCTGTCATGATCTTGGCCACGCCCATTTCTCCACTGCAATCACCTCCCAGTCTCCCTCCTTCTGTGCAAATAAACAATTTAAATTTATATACTGTAATATTTTTAATAAACAATCCATGCTGCATGATTATTAAAAATTTATTTATTTAAAAGTTATTTTTTAAATTTGCTTTTTTTCCAGAGAATTTCCACTTTTATGTGCACATTTCTGCGTCTTTCAGCCTAATTGAGCACGATTGTGCTCTCTCCATTTTCTTCTGGTAATTTAGGCTTCTTTCTGTCGTTTCAGCTACTTTTCAGCAATTTCTTGCTAATTTCAGATTTTCTTTAGCTAATTTACCAATTTTTCTGCTAATTTCTGCTTATTTAAACAAAATTCAGCAAACGTGTTCTTTCTTCTTTTTCTGCTAACTTGGGTTTGTTCTTCCATTTCAGCTACATTTTCAGCAGTTTTTTTTTTTAGCTAATTTCAGCCGTTTTTCAGCAAGTTCTTCAGCAATAAGCATTCACACTGTATTTTCACAGGAAATGCAATGTCTCAAGTTTAAATCCTTTAAATGTCCATTCCTGCTCGGTGCTGCAGCGGCTTCATGAAGGGTTAACCCTTTGCTGTCCAGCTGCACCGATCGACTTTTGTCTTCCAACTTAACATTCAAAGAATATCACATTGTAAAATCGTCATATTTAGAACGTCTATGTTCAGTTGTTACAGTGTAATTGATCAAGAAGTACATTTCTGCTCCGAACCCTTTGCTGTCCTTCTCTTGTACTACTATCCCTACTTGGTGGTTTTTCAGTTATCGTGGGGGGACCCCTGAAACCTAACACCCACGATGAACGAGGGACTACTGTAATGTCATTATTACACAAATGTATGTACTATGTAAAATTTCACTTCTCAGCAAATCTTCAGTTTTTATTCATGGCAGAAAACTCTGTTGTGGATGAACGTTTGTTCAGAGCAGCAGGTGTAGCTGCTGCAGGAGACAAGAATAATTAGTACTGAGTTAAGAAAGTGAGGAGGATCGTTTGTCATCGAGGATTCTTTAATCCTGTTACAGGATGTTAGAGCTGAGAAAAGGTTCTCGTCTTACTGTAGTTGATTAGATTCACAGGTAGAGAAATGCTGCAGCACTCACGGAGAACTCGTTTCTCTGGATCGGTTGGACGAAGGCGATGATCCGACACGCAGGCGCAGAAGAACGTCTGCGCTCGGCTCATTCCAGTGTTCAACGTAACGGAGCTTTAAACTGATTGGGTCTTTATCGGGAACTGAAATGATCAGAATCTAAGCTCAACGTAAACCAACTCGGTTGAGTCATTATATATTAAACAAAAACAAAATGGTGAATCTGCGTCTGAAGAACTGGCTCCAGCCCTGACCCAGCAGCTTGTAGAACCTCCTGAACTCTCAGCGGTTATCTGGAGGACTTTAACAGACCTTCACATGGTTGTGGAGGAAATCTGACCCACGCTTCTTTCTATCGTTTCTTCAGTTCATTGAGGGTTCTTCTCAGATCTCTGAAGGTCCCATCGCAGCGTTTCAATCAGGTTGATAGTCTGGACTCTGACTGGACCGCTGCAGCACCTTGATTCTTTTTTTGACCCATTCAATTGTAGACTAGCTGCTGTGTTTAAGATCATTGTCCTGTTGGACCCAGTCTGGTCCAAGCTTCAGCTGTTGGACAGATGGACTCAGCCCTTTGGTCTACAGGAGCCCAAACCATCAGCCCTCCACCGCCACGCTCACAGCTGGGAGGAGCTCTCTGTTCTAATATTCTGTGTTTAGTTTACTCCAAACATGGTGCTGTGCATTATGGGTAAACATAGGCCTGCTCTAGAAGTCTTGTGGTTCTTTCAAATGAAGCTTTTCAATTTTAAGTCACGTTGTGTTGTTTTAAGAGAGAAGAGGCTTTTTCCTGCAACCCTTCCAGATAAATCATGACCCTTGACCTTTACCTACTAAAGGACCCTGTGTACATAATTTCGTTCCACCTCATGTACCACATGTGAAGGAAATGCCAATAAAATTGACTTGAACTTGAACTAACTGAGGACTGCAGAGTATAATTTGGGACTCGTTTCTTTGGGCATTGCACTGTCTGTCCTTCGGGGTAACCCCCCCCAGCTTTTCTAGAGGTGGTCCTACTGATGAAGATCAGTTACTGAACTTCTGAGATCCTGTGGAAGCAGCGAGGCTTGAACCAGTTTTTCTCTTAATTTCTTTAATACAAATGAACTGTTGGATCCCGCTGTGCATTTTTTTTTCCCAACTAAGATTTGAATACTTTGAGGCTATTCAAATTATTTTCTGTGCAAATCTGTATGAATTCCTAATAATCTAAACCTCGAAAAGTTCAGAAAACAGTCATTTGAATGGCTGGATAATAAAAAATAAAAAATAAAGGTTTAAATTGCACATTAAACTAGGCCTGTCACGATAAATTTTGCTGGGCGATTAATTGTCTCAGAAATTATTGCGATAAACGATAATAATTACTAATTACTGTCAAATTTAAGAAGAAACGTTGGTTAATTTTATTTTGTGTGTAGTACCCTTTTTTGACCACCGGATGGCAGTATAAGACCATTTGAACGGAAGGATGGATAGTGAGGGAGCGAGCAGCGTGTCTCTTTAAGAGAAATGGGAGGGAGGGCCCTTGACGTGACATGGGCTGTCTCTCATTCCTGTTTTTCCGATTTTTAAAATGGCGGACGCTCGGTGTGGTTTGAGCTCTTTAGCATTTTTCACACAAAGCTTTTAAGAAAACATCAGTAAACAAGTTCTCAGCTTCTTTTTGCAGAGGAAAAACAACTTTTTACACGAAGGCACCGGTTTCAACAGTGAATTTTGAAGCTTCAACAAGACGGAGTTTTTTTTTTTTTTTAACCAGAGATCGGTCTGTTAGCTTAGCTTGTAAATTAGCTTCTCAGTTTAGCTGCTTTTAATGATCCAAAAACACGATTTTTGTTTGGTTAAAACAGATTTTAAAGAGAAAGGGAGGGGTCAGTGAAGAGCACCGAAGTTGAGCTTTTTGTCATCCAGTGTCTTCAGTAGAAAGAGAGAGACATGAAGAATCGATAAAGCCGATAAATGAAAACGAGGGCGATAATTTTCATTTATCACGCGATTAATTGATTTATTGTTTATCGCGACAGGCTTACATTAAAAATTACATTCATCAAAAGAAAAAATAAGAAGAAAACCAAAAAAGTAAGTTCTTCATGGGTGAAAATTGATTCCCTCCATAAAAAGGTATAATTTTAACATCTTGTCTGTTGTTTTTACACGTAGTTT